TACACGAAATCTACTTTTACTTTCAATGTTTCTCGGCATAAGAAAAGAATTTATTGGCTTTGGGATGTCATAAGATTGAGAAAAACAGGAATCTAATTCTCCATTACAAATAAATAATTTATTGTCTTTGTAGTTTACTGTATACCTTATGTGCTGCGTCATTTTTTTTAGTATTGTTGGTAACAACTATCATTTACATGAAGGCAAACGGTTTGAAGATTAGGAAAGTTTGGAATATTCTCTATCAGATAAGAATGTAAAATTATTTAATTTAATGAAGTAATTTCGCGCTGAAGTTACTGAGACGCTTGCAAACTCGAAAAAATACAAATATTTCACGAAAAACGGTGAGTAAATCACTCTTTAATGCAAATTTTTGCGGGTTGCAGGTTAAATTCCTGCATCAAACAAATACCACCCAACGGAGAATTTAATTCCGCATCTTTAAATGCCGCGCGGAAGTTATTGAGACGCTAAAATCGCGTGGAAACCCGAAAAATACAAACAATTCACGAAAAGGGTGAGTAAATCACACTTTAATGCACATTTGCGCGGGTTCATCTTTAGATGCCGCGCTGAAGTTATTAAGATATACTGAGACTACGAAAACGAAAAACTATTCACGGTTCAAGATTTTATTTCAACAAGAAATTAATAATTTAATGATGCAATTCGATTAAAAATGTTTACGTGATAATCGAAAACATGATCGAACCGACGGCCGACGGCAAAGTAAGCGTGGTCGACCACATGAATATTGTCATTTTAATAATCCTCAGATAATTTTAAAAACCGTGCTTGTAATAATTAAATGAAGCATGTTATTTTCGGAAATGTGACAAAGAAGAATTCTAATTAAAATGCCACCACTTGTTTGTAATCTACAAAATTAATATCCGTCAAATTAAATAATCAATTTAAGTTAAACCGCCTTAACTTTCCGCGATAAATTTTAATTATCCACCAACCTGTGCATTAAAGAGGAGATTTTCTATCCTAGAATATATTCTATCAACTGAAAACACACGCAGAGATTAATGGACACTTATTTCTTATTTAAGGAGACTCTAAACGCCACAAATCATTAAACAAAACAGGCACACATTCCCATTGCGAATATTTTGACGATGGCCGAAAGAATACACGACGATTAATACAATTAAAACCTCAAAACGCATGGCGATTAGAGAGACACGTTCGCGGACCACGCGGTGAAACGACTGCCGTGTGCACGACGCGTAGCAAGGCGGGTAGGTAGGTACATAGCGATAACACGCGTCAGTCGAACAAAAAAAGTTGTTTATACACAAACGTAATAACAAACACGTAGTTGAGAAGACGAAACTAAAATTCTCAATATTGAAATAGCACATATACACGGAATCTACTTTTACTTTCAATATTTCTCGGCTTTAGAAAAGAATATATTGACTTTGGGATGTAATAAGATTGACAAAAACTGGAATTTAATTTACCATTACCAATAAATAATTTATTGTCTTCGTAAAAGTTTACTGTGTACCTTAGATAATTAAGTAGTTGGTGTTCACAATATCGCGCTGCTGCGTCATGTTTTTGAGTATTTTTGGTAACGAATATCATTTAAACTAAAAACGTGAGCGACCAACGGATTGAAGATTATGAAACTTTGGAAAATTCTCTATCTGATAAAGCATAAAATAATTAAGTATCCTGGGCTAAAACGTCCAAAAATAATTTATATTTTATCAATACGACTCACTTCTACCGCTACCCTTGTACGGTGCCCTGAACACGAGTCACTTCTACTACTACGTTCTTACGATGCCCTGATCACGAGTCACTTCTACAGCTACCTTCGTATAGTGCCCTGAACACGAGTCACTTCTACCGCTACCTTCGTACGGTGCCCTAAACACGAGTCACTTCTACCGATACCTTCGTACGGTGCCCTGAACACGAGTCACTTCTACCGCTACCTTCGTACGGTGCCCTGAACACGAGTCACTTCTACCGCTACCTTCGTACGGTGCCCTAAACACGAGTCACTTCTACCGATACCTTCGTACGGTGCCCTGAACACGAGTCACTTCAACCGCTACCTTCGTGTTCCAAAAACAATATAATAACATTTAAAGAGAAAATGCAAAATTCAAGTTGGGAAACACAGTCCAAGTAAAATCAAAGGAAATTATTATATAGGGTGATGTAAAGAGAAAACGATAAAAAATCCTAAGTTTAAGTGGAATTTTGACAAATTAAGCATGGAAAATTAGTATACAGGGTGTTACAAAAAACACTAAGGGAAATTATAATACATTAATATAAATAATAAATTGTAAGGACCTTAATTAGGCACATTGTAGAAATGATGAAATACGCGAATCATACAAAAAGAGTATCCGACGGCCGACGGAACATCACTCACGGTTTATCTCTGCGCATTAACAATTCGCATTTGAACGCCGCACATCACTCGCGCACAATGGAAGGAGCATTTAGAAATATTATGTAATGACGCGAAAAATATTAAGAAACTCAAATTATTGTGAAGAAAATGTGCGTGCAGATCACTCGACGACAAATATGAGACCGACGTACCACGCAAGCCAACCGCGAGACGAACCGCGTGGCGATCGCACAAAAATTGCACGAGATAAGAAAACGTGTTTGTTTGTAAACACTGATACATTCACTGATACTCGAAAATCATTGAAATATAGCAAATTGTATAATACACAAAAAAGTGTTGTATCGCGTTTATTTATACGAAAAGTATTAATCAGAATTAATAACTTACGAGAACAGCATCGTTTTCCAGAAATGACTAACAGAATAAGTCCAATGGTCCGCACTGAAACAGACAATGAGACAATTAATTGTGAGACAAGGCATACGCAAGTGAAAATAGATTTGCATTTGATTGATAAAACATAATACTCAAATTTTCTTTATACCCGATTGCATTCAGGTACTGAAAAAAACGTGGCGTATCAGAGAACGAAGCAATAACAATACGGACACAATGTATTGTATAAACACAAGATGAAATCCACAACACCGATAAAAATGTATACTAGGTACATGCATTCAAACAAAAATTAATAAAATTTAAAATCGCACCATAACTGCAATATTTTCAAGCACACTGTTTAAGAAGTTAAGAAAATTACCATACCTTCGAATTGATAATAGACATCCGGGACACGTTAATCGTTAATAATAAACCAGAACACCCGACACTTATATTACGACCAAACCACAGATTATTCATTCTACTGGACACGATTAAGCACCTTTCTACTAAATTACTGATCGGAAATAACATATAGAGCAGCCCACAGAGCAGAATTTGCAGCGAGAGAATCGCGTGGAACACGATAAAAGTTGTTTTATCCGGCATTGATAAATACGCCGCGCAAAATACGAATACAACTCTTGCACGTTGAAAGAACAATATAAACAAACCGATTTTGTTGGGGCCATTACGGTATAAACGATTGTATTTCTAATATACAAAATACTAAATACAAAATATTATCTCGTTATTGCTTAGTTTGTTAATTACTATAATTATGAAACCTTATGCAATGAAAAATCCAAAATGAAATACACTCTATGACGTCATGTTTAATTAATTTTTACAACTAACATATGGTTTAACTGCATGTAGAGTGTTGCCCGGACAAATATCGATTAATCCCATGAAGTCGTACATATTAACCGAAACCATCCAGAATCGTTTCATCAAGACGCATTTAGTGCAGTGATGTTTACTTTTCAATACAGTTGATGCAGTGGGCATCGCGGACACCACAGAAACCAGTGGCTTGCTTACTGCCCGCGGACCTTTGAGTCCAAGCGAAACATTCATCTTTGATTCCGTATGTTTAACACCAGGCATGCTGAAAGCTATTATATTCTCAAGTTTACTAAGTAATACGTCGTTATAAAAAGGACTTACATAAGAGTCCAGAAGATCTAAAATATTATTTCGTGAATAAACTCAATTGGTGACAATTGTAGAAAGATTGACACTGTTCACGAAACCCTCCAAAGCCGCCTTAGAAACGTATTCATTTATTATTGCCATTGTTTTCGTTTGACACCAGCATATTTGAAATATGTCGGCAATCATGTCAAAATTTGAGTAGTACATCGCTAAGTTATGTTCATTTTGTTACTATCAATCCCTTCGGCACTGAGCTGGTACTTGTTATACATCACACTAAGAAAATCCTACAAGAACGAGTCACCGGAGTTTGCAAATCGTTTAGCTACACTATGTCATGCTACCATTATGGCGACATTTGGAAGTTCACAGTGTTTCATCAATGGTTGGGCATTTCGGAATTGTGAAGAACCAAGAACAAATTCACAACTTGCCATTCTCTTACTCAGCCTGGGATACTTCATATTTGACCTGATCTGGTGCGCATATTACCAAACGGAATCAAAATTAATGATCGCCCATCACGTATACAGTTGTTTTGCTATGGCGCGGATATTGGCAAAGGGCACATTAACCAATCAAGCTACTTGTGCTTTAGGATTGATGGAAATCACTAATCCACTGCTACAGTTAAGGTGGTTCATTAGAACGTTGGGATATAAGAACACCCTGTTTTTTACAATTGTGGAATTGAGTTTTGTATTAATCTTCATTAGCATGCGGCTAGTTTTAGGCACATTTGTAACGTTAGAAGTATTGATTGGAAATCAAGATTTTGAGTTCAAATTGTTAGCTATAGTCATTTATTTAGTGTCCTGGGGATTTATGATAAACATGTACATGTATATAAGAAGGAAATATAGCGAGCCTGCAACCGAAGTTGAAGATGAAACGGATAGAAGAAATACAATATCAACTTTTACTATGTAGTGTAAACATGAATTACGGACAAATACACCTAAGTTTTCAAACGAGGTTACTTGAATTCAAATGTGGGGAATTTTGACGCTCCAAGTTTTAAATTTTCCTTTACTGTATAGATGCCGCTCTAGTCGCATCAAGTACGCATGTGTTAGTTTATGTGACATCACAGAAGGAATCATAATCATAATTGCATTCTTCACATTAGTCATCATCATGTATTCTATCTGAAGGTATGATTTTAATTACCAAAGCTCAATTAAAGGTTCAAGATGTCAAAGAATATTCAAGAAATACACAGCGGTTGGTTAACGAAGTCGCCGCCAGCGAAACGCATATGGCGCGGGGTAAGTGAACAAATTACTTTCAAACAACAACTCAAAACAAATGTTATTCATGTTTGCAAAACAATGAGTATCCTCGAGCTACGTTGAGTCAGTCGACATTATCCAGCGATAACGAGCAGTTTTATTTGTGCTCTAACGAATTTATTTTGTTATTTAGCGCTGGAGACGACGTTGGTTTGTCTTACATGCAGGTGAATTGCCAGCTCAGTACAAGCTATCATATTTCACTGATAGAAACAACCACAAACTAAAAGGCATTATAGACTTAGACCAAGTTGAGATACTCAGCAAAGGCCTCAAGTTTGAAGACAAGAAACTTAAGTTTGACTACATATTTGACATAAAGACTCCCACACGTACTTATTACTTGGCTGCAGAAACAGAAAATGAGATGATACAATGGGTAAATAATATCTGCAAGCTGTGCAACATGAGGGCGACAAGTGATGAAGAAGATTGTGGTATTGACCAACAGGAAAAATTGGTAGCACATTCTCTTGATTCACCACCTGTTTCCCCTGTGAGCACCAGTCCATATATACCAATCTCGGAATGTATCACTGGGAAGACACCGATTTTACCAAATCAGTCAATAGATGAGTATAACATGTCTGCCCAGCATGTGCAGAGCATTTACACCATTGGAAATCATTCCTATGAGATGTCCTCTCCAACATATTTAAATTGTGCTTCAATTTCTATCAATAATCATAAAAGGGAAGTGGAATATTGCAATTCAATGCCAATCACTAATGCATCACCACTACAAAGTCCAACAGACTCAGAAAGTGTGTTTACTGATGATGATTGGTCACATAATATCAGCCAATCTGATACTAGTAAGCATTTTTATTTATTTTTTGTATAAATCATTATTAATTTTTATATTTTTTAGGCTTCAGGAGCGTTAGACCTTCTAATAGTTCAGCTGAGGTTGATACAAATAAAAAATTAAACCATGTGGGTCCACCAAGGCCACCCAAACCACACCATATCAATACATCCCAGACTAATCAATTGAAAGGAACAAAGTCCGGAAATCATAGCAAATCTAATTCTACATGTGATGAAAACACACCAGTAAGTTACGCCTATATCACTGTATTTCCGACTAACTGACTTTTATAATCGTTACAGAATTTGTTGACTGATGAGACATATGATTTCCCGCGGTCGCACGTCGAGAACACGGACACTTTAGGAAAGCGTCACTGTTACAACAATGCGGCGCCCAGTTACATTGACGGCCATATATTTACTTACGATAATCCGTCGCCTAAACCGAGCACCAGTCAATCACAAATATTTAAATACGGTGATGAGCTCGGAGATGAGCCAGCGTCACCGTTATCGCAATCTTCTTCAACCGCACATTATTCGAACCTACCAAGCCCGCTTTTACCTTTTGACGCACAAGTAAATTGTTATTTTTTAATATAGAATATGCGTTTCTATTTGGTTATGCATTTCAGCTTATGCCACCACCTAAAGTCAACCGAGGATTGAAACCAAAGAGGAAACTATCGGATTCATTGTCTGTGGCATCCAGTACTGAGCCCAACTCTCCGAGACTTGCACCATCAGTGGATCGGAAATTAAAGCCATCGACTACGGTAAGTTTTTTGGTTGATTATTAGAATTGAAAATAATCATACAAATCACAGCTCACACTGCCTACCGGAAGAACTTTTGAATCGAGCGATGAGAACTTTAATAGGAAGTGTCGCGCTGCTCCCAGTCCAACACCTTTTGGCAGATCGATCGAAAATTTACAAAGTGACGATAACGAACAGGTAAATAATTAGTTCTCAGACTTTAGACGATGATATTCATACACATTATTATTAGGTATACCATTATTTTGGATCCTTAAACCTTCAACGAAAGAAATTGGAATACCTCGACTTAGATTTAGACAATAAAAATAGCAACAAGTTTAAGCAACGCACAAAATCGACAAACGAAGACTCCTCGGACCGATCACCCGGAGCAATTACAGTGTACAAAAAGGTAGACTTCTTCAAGACGGAAGCATTTAATATAACTCGAAACAATTTAGAGAAAGAAAGAAAACAGGTGCCTCAAGACAATGCCTCTAAGAAATGATCTATGCAATTGTAGTATTCGCCCACAAAATATTGTGCAATTATTGACCAGCATATCAAAACACGTTTTCTTCGAATATTTACTCTATATCTTATTGTTACTCACAAATGTGCTGATAGTTTGCAAACTGTATTACACGTTAAGATATTCATCCGTTAATGTCTACAACATTTATTTGATTGCATTTATTATCTACCAAATTACGTATTACACGGCTGTGGCAATAAAACGCCGAATTCTACAGCTTCTTAATTTCTTACACTTACTCTAAGTTTTCCACATTTACAATTTAGACCAAGTTCAATCATGAAAGAGTACGAATTAATTTACAAAATCAACGATTTATGCTTTAAGATTTGACTGTTGCATATTATTATGTAATGTATGTTTTAATGCTTAAATAACATATTTTAATATACATTATTAGTCGCTTTATTTTGTACTGACATGATGTATTATATTTTTTGCAATAAACAAGATGTATTTTTGTTATATATTACTGCGATTCTTTTAATGGTGACCTCTCTTTTTCCTGTTACCCATATTCAGAGGTATCTCCAACATGTTCGAACGTACGGGTTAATCGTTCGAACCCGTTTGCCCCTCCATATTTCGCAGGTTCACCGGCATAAGGGTGCTCATGCGAATTTGTTTTTATTTATGTAAACTAAACATTAACCGAGTTTGCTTTGGAAACAAGCCAATGTCATATTAATTCCTTTATCGTTTTGACATAACAAATTAATTTGAACACCATGGAAGACTTTATAGACACTGTATCTCTACGCATAAGCGCTCCTAGTGGTGTATTACCAAAGAAAAGACCAGAAGGACCAAAGTTTCAACTCACGGAGGATCAAAAAAAAGATATGAAAGAGGCGTTCGACATCTTTGATTGGGACGGAACAGGCCGTATTGATGTTAAAGAAGTTAAAGTGGCAATTCGTGCTCTAGGTTTTGAGCCACCAAAAGAAGAAATGAAGCGGATGATTGCCGAGGTAGACACGGAGGATTCCGGAAAATTGTCCTACGAAAATTTCATCACGTTGATCGCCGGCAAAATGTGCGCACCAGATTCGAAAGAAGAATTGCTGAAGGCATTCCGCCTCTTTGATGCTGAGCAGAACGGATATATAACGACCGAAACTTTGCTGAGAGTCTCAGAAGAGCTGGGAGAATATGTAACGGAAGAGGAAATTGTCGAGATGATAGATGAAGCTGACGTTGACGAAGACGGCAGAGTTACCGAGGAAGAGTTTGTAAAATTCATGCGTAAAATCACCTTTGCCTCAGTTTTAATCAACTGAATAAGTTTAAATGTTGCATTGACTTTATAAATTATACTACGTTTTTTTTAAGGTATGATCCACATGTAATCGTTATTGTTTATATGTGTTAATTAATAAATAAGTTGTAAATTCAATAAGTAACCAGCAGGTATTACATACCTGTTATTGTTTTCGCTACGGTTTGCAGTTGAGTCGAGTTGCACTAGTTTTCCGAGAGCGTTGCACGAAAGGAAGGAAGAAAAATAGAAAGGATAGTAAATCAAGCATGGATGACTTTTGCATCGCTTGTCTTCACCATAGAAAGCGCATGCAAAATGATGATTAGACTCACAGCTCAATTATCACGCTTGTTTGCGTACCGGTGCATTGAATAACCCAATTCGTTTCTTCAATTCGACCGAACGAATTGGCGCGCACTTAATCCAAATCCGACCACAAAATGGAATTAATCAACACTTCTTATATAAATCACTCGGCAGTGTTGTATTGTTTTCATTTAAAGGAAAGTGTTTACACTGTGCGGACGTGCAATTATGGAGACTGTATTCAAAGTGTTTGTTTTCGTCGCGGCGGTTTTACGAATACTAGATGCTGCACAACCTCGTCCGTCGGGTTTTATCACTGACTTATCTAAAGGAGAACCGCTGGGTCAGTACGCGAAACTATTGCAACCCCCCCTCGCCTTTGCATACAATCACGAACCGAAAACAGCGGAATCAGTTATCAAGCAGAGGAGATTGAAACCTGATCCACCTGCAGAACTTCGAAAATTGAATTCGAAACGAATATTGATACCAAAGAAGTATTTAAAAGAAACGAATCAAGAAACAATTCAACCAGAAAAAGAGAAAGAATTTTTAATTTACGTACCTGATGAACCTCTTAAGCAGGATTCACTTGCAGCTCCTATTATTGTCCCGGAATTATCTGAAGAACAGGTTGCTGAAACAAATACCGAAATTAAAAATCAGCCTAAAAGTGACCAACATGTTGAAGAGTCACATCATAAAAAACACAAACCGAAACCTGTCAACACAAAGTTTAAGGCTGGGGGTGAGAAAACCGACCACCATGAGCACCACGAAGAGTCGAAAAAGAAGGGTGATAAGGGTTACAAAGGAGAACACGTAAAACATAAAGTGGAAAAGGCACATCACGTTGAGAATGAGAAATCTGGTCATCATGAAGATAAAGGAGGTGATGAAAAGAAATTTGATAAGGGTGAAGATTACCAAGCCGCATCACACGAAGAAGATGGTGGGAAGAAAGGATCTAAGGTAAGAATTATTTGACTAAAGTAGTTAAAGAAATAAATAGAATAAATTATTACACAGTATGAAGAAGAAGGGGAAAATGACAAAGGACACGCTACGAAAGGAACACATAACGTGCGTAAAAAAGATGAGTACGTGAAGAAAATTGAATTCTTCGATGAGTATCATGAAGATTCTGATGAGGACGAAGATGGCGGTCATGAGGACGAAAAAGATTTCAAAAAGGGGCATCATGCACACAAAGAGCATGACGATTCAGCATACAAGCATGATGATTATGGCGATTATAAAAGTCATGAAGATTCACACGAGAAGAAAGTCTCAAAAGGTAAACACATTGCTGATGGCCATGGTGCTCATCACGATCACGATAATAAACATGGGAAAAAATCAAATCATGAGAGTAAAAAAATATGGAAAATTATCGTTACCGATAAAAGTAAATAATTAAAGTTCATATATTTAAATTCTTTATATAAATAATAGAAATGTATTAAATACCAGCATTTTGAATTGTGCAAGATAACATTTTGTCACATTTAAGATAATACATTTTTTACCAAATTTTAAACAAAGTTTAAGTTAAGTGATAAATTATTGTCAAACATCACAAAAGTTATAGTGTTCAATCAATTATTCAATAATTAACAAACCAATCACCATGTTTTACCCAGTGTTAACTTAAACTTGATTTAAAATCTACATATTACTCACACAATTTAAGTATCGCCCAAATGCTATTATATAAACTGGATTTTTTCTCTGTAATCTCTGAGAAATGAAAATTACATTTACTTAACTGTATCTAATCGTTTGGTTAACATTTCTGTATGTGACGTCTATTCTCTCCTGTACATTTTTGAAATACCTTGTTAAACTTTGCGCCTTGTCATGCAGGACCTGCAATCCTAGACGTAGTTTCAAGTAAATCAAATCCTTTATCAACCCGAAGATAGTTTCAGTTTTTTCAGCTATTGGATTGATTGTGGTGGTGAAGAATTCATCTGTTGTGGTAGTGTCATAAAGAGTTTCTTTAGTTGAGTCGCTGTTTGGAAGTAAAGTAGGATTAATTGTCGTGGAAGTTGAAGTTGTTGTTGGGGTAGGCACAAAACTTGGTTTCTTATCGCTTGTATCAATTTCATTATCAACGTCTTTTTCTGTTTTATCAATACGACGTGGTACTTGACGCCTTCTTCTTCTGGGCATGTGTTCCATTGAATACAATGCTTCTGCATGCGCTGGAACACTCTCAACTACAAAAACTTTCTCGTGATCTGCATTTTGTTCTTCAATTGTTCTAGGACCATGTTCAGGAACAACCGCAGGTGTCGGTGCTTCAGTACTTGCCTGAACAATTTCTTGTGGTACATTACCAACTACAAACTCGTCATCATTCATGATTGAAACAGAATCTTTGTTTGGTTCCAGTTTTTCAAATGTTTCATAAGTATCTTTATGATTGGAGTAAGTGTTCTTCTTTGGACTGCCAATAATCACTTCTTCAGCTTGATATTTTGTCAAGGGATTCAAAGCAACCGTTTCTACAGAACCCTCCATATAACGTTGATCAACATTCCTGAAACGACTGTTTGGTTGATAGCCCACATTCATACCATTATTATAGTCATTCAATCCGTATGTATTTCTTGAATTGTGTGATCTGGTGTTGTAATAATTATTCACCGGCATACCAGCAATTACTTTACCAATTGCTTCCTCCTCGGCTATGCCTCCAGAGTACTCATCTGTGTAATGATAATTACCTTCTTTATCCTTTCTATCAATTTCGTACGATCTGCGTAACGCACCGAACGGATAAAGGAAGTAACTTGCAAGACCAGCTGTTACCATCAAACCAACCAGACCAACTCCAACGGTAGGCATCACTTCTCGGCTGAGATAGTTATAAAGCTGTGTCCCAATTGGACGTTCCTTGTTCTTCGTAGACAATTTTGTAGAATTGGAAGAATCCATCTTATCTTCAGCCACTGGTTTCTTACGCCTGTTTTTATTCTTCTTCTTTTTCGGAGATGCTGTGGTTGGACGCTTGGTTTTCTTATCGGTGGTTGTAGTAGACAAGTCAAGGGTACCTTCTTTGGCTTCAGGTTGCAGTTCAGTACTTGCGGAGGATTTAGTGGGGACTTTGACAAAATCAGTTTTCTTTGTGCTTGTAGAAACAGACAAAGTAGATGCTTCCAACTTAGGTGTGGTTTTGGATGGTTTGGCGGTTGTAGCAGTATTGGTAACCTTCTTAACAGATTGCGTCGTTTTCGTGTTATTGACAAAGGACGCTTTAACTTTGGTGAGTTTCGTAGTCTTTTCAGGCTTCTCTGTAGTAAGAGCAGTTGTTGCAATATTTGCTTTCAAAGTTGTTGACACTAATGTGGTCGGTTTTTTCGTTGTGGACAAAGCTGCCGGTATTGGTGTCGTCGACTTCCTTTTGAATATCGGCTTGATGACTTTATCGTCATTGCTTGCAGTTGCATTCTTTGCTTGGACTGCGGTTTTTTTCGTTGGTTTATTAGTAGAAGACTGACCGCTTAGTAAGATCCATGTGGAAAGTCCACTGTCAGTTGTGGGTTTGTCAATTTTGTAAAAGTTCATCTTTTTATTCGCTTCATCCAATAACAACGCTTCATCATCAACAGGTTCCGCAATACCTGCGTGTCCAAACTCAATAATTTCAGCATGATCACGCCGTGTTTGTTCCCGAAACTTTGGAGGTGTCCTTGTATCAAATGTAATATGCGATGTGGCGTTCAGTTGCATTAATTGATCGGCTAATTGTTTCATCGTTTCGCTGATAGGAGATACATTTGTTCTAAAACAATCGAAAACAAAAATAATTACATAGCCCACAGGTTAATCATCAGATTACAAAGGATATGGGATAATTGAGGCCATACTAGGAAATAAGAATAATTTGTTTCTCTCATTATTATTTTTCTTTACACGTACAATAAATAATATATACACAAATGTTTCTGAAATAAAATAAATTAAATAATTTACATAATAAATAACAATTATCAACTAAATAACAGTTGTTGCCATTTACTTATATGCAAGCTCAACGTTTTCTTTTCCATTTATCAATAATTTCAAATTTATTATGGCCGTATTTGATACCTATCTAAATTTAGCTTTATATTCTTCTAAACTTCGTTTATGTTTTATACGCAGTGGACGGTGTCCTTTGTAAGGATGATGACCACCTGATAATTTAGTAGTGTCTAAAATATTCGTCCACGTTTTAGTTTGGTGATTCCAAAACCATCCATCTGGATGCACAACCGGTTTGTGGACATGTTTATAATGATAATGTGTTTTTTCCTTATTATCGGACTTGGCGACGAAGAAAAGCGCAGGGAACCACCACGGGAAAATCGCGAAAAAGGTAGCTATCAATGTTTTGACAAAAACAATTACAGGTATAGCAACTAAAACAGGCCAGAGGTATGTAAACACAGTCCGAACAATATTCCAAAGCCCACCGAATATACCCATTAAACCTTTCAAATCCGGAATTGACAAATTAGGCAACATAGGAAATTCAGGGAGTTGGGGTACACCTAATGGAGGAAAGCCACCCGCTCCAGCTGGACCAGCAGGCCCGGCTGCTGGAGCAGCGGCAGGAGCAGCAGCAGCTGCTGCCGGAGCGGCAGGTTCAGCTAAAGGAGCAGACGCAGCAGGTGCCACTGCTTCAGTTTCCGGCCGACGTGTATCCGTAGCTGGGTGATAATGGGAATTAAGTACTACATTCAAATCAGGACAACCGGCTTGTTTTGATTGAGGTGCAAACACATTACTAGTCAAATGATAAGAAGGACAAGGGTTACCCCCTGAATTGGCCGAATAGAACTCCCCTTGGGTTTGCGCATCTGGAATAAGATCCAAATCAACAGTACCAAGAGGAATATCGACTATATCACCTAGGTCACTAGGATCATCAGCAGGATAACCATTGGATGAGGTTTCAACCGCGCTCAATGGAACAATATTATCATTTAGATCTGATTGGGGAGTCTGAGGAGGTCTTTCAAAAGTATATTGCGGGGAATAAGAAGTCACCTCAGGCATTGGATCTGGTGCGGGAATGTGATACAAAACAAAATCAGGTTGTGGTTGCGGTTGTAGTTGCGCTTGTGGTTGTTGTTGCTTCTGTTCATTCTTCTTTGTAGAATTACTATTACGGTGCAACTGAGTGTAATTCTTGTATCTATTAAGATCGTGCTTGCTATTAATTGTGGTGAACGGCCACGTGGGTTTAATTTTTTTGATTATTGTGTTATTTGTTTTGGGTTTCAATGTGGTCGTAACAAGACGAATGCCACCGCCAACAGTACCGCGGTGGTATGTAACGGTTGCGTTTTTCAACTGCACATTCGTATTCGGACTTAATTTAACTTTCGTGGCGCTTTCCGGCTTTTTAACCGTCGGCGGCTGTTTACGGCTGCCTTTCGTATCGGACTTAACCACGCTGATTTTAATGAAATTCTCTTTGTTGGCCGGATGCGTTTCTTTCGTGCCGCGATGTGATTGTGAGCGCGCGCGATTGTCGGTAACTAACAGTTCTTCGTTTATGGTAATGTTCGCTAATCTACGTAGAGCTTGCATATAAGTTGACGTCGTTTTGTTACTCATTATCGATATGCTACGAGGATTGTTAAGAAATGCGTCTTCGTCGGATCGGTACCTGGATGTGGTCGACGTCGTCGGCGTCGTGCTACTGCTGCTCGTCGGCATCGACATGACTAATGATAGTGTCATTAAGGACACCACCAGACACCACTGCCCGGTGTAGCTTAACATTTTTTACACCTGCAACAAACAGAAACAAAAGGTTAATGTCATGGCGTACTACATTATGTCTTGTACTGTTACAGAACTCGCAATTTTATTCTTATCATGCTAAATTTTGCATCAACAAAAAGTTTAAACCGATCATTTTGAAAGGTTCTTCAACTTCTAACTGTAGATAATTATCATGCGGGTTTTTTTCTTCAGTTTTTACTAATACTGCTAATTAAATTAATTAAATAAATCAAAAATAGTAATTGTCGTTGAACATGTTTTTAGCTATCGCTTCAATGAATATGTTTGCAATGACGTACTGCTTCATAACTGTTTGTCGCATTCCGTGAATTATTTAGCTGGATTTGTTTGTTTTGAATCATAAGAACTCATAACGCTCCTCATGAATACATTTTAAGTATGAGGCTTAATTTAGCAGAAAAAATACCACAACTGTATTTGAGCTATTAGTGAAATGCCGTTTTAGTAAGTAAATAGTAAAATAGAGGTAAATATTTTAATTATTGCAAATATTATTACAGTTAACATGCAGTAATGCATAAACCTCAAATATGGAATTGCAATAAAGATATTTAATTCAAAGTGAATTGTTATTTTCCATTGTGTTGTGAGTAATTTATCTCGCAATATGTTGATGTGTGTTAATGAAGACGTTGGAATCTGTGTACCACACTGTCCGACGTCGCGGTTGTTGTCTTCGGATGTCTATTCATCCAAAGTGGAAGGTGGAGGAAACGTAATGGACATACTCGAGGAATGATACCGCTAAGTTCGTTGACTTTCCCTGACCATGGCAGTGATTTCATGGTCATTCAAAGCGCACGTACATCGACAACTTTTGGACGTGTCCAGCTTTTTGACATCTTCCACACTTGTACTTACGAGTATTTGCGACGAAATGAATTATGTAATGTTTACTTTAATGATAACACCTTAGCGTCAACTCAATCGCAAATATTTCAACATCCTTCGACTATCTATGATGCTAATTAATTCATTGACTATATTGCATAATTACCTCGAGAAGATATCTAACATAAAGTTACATGTTAGAAATTGCTAATTTTATAGGTCAACTTTTTCACTTTTTATAAAAACTTGCAATTCTACGATGAATTATTTAATTTCTCTCACATGCATGCACCGTATGAAATTAGACACAATAGCTGTGTTTAAGAAGCGTGTAACGCAAATTAGAATTACTACAGGTGAATTAATAAAGTGCGCATAAATTAAAATGTTAAAATATGTGTTAGTTTATCATAAAATATTGTACCAACAAATAAATTAATTAAATTTTTCAAAATATGGATGTTAAACATTTTTAAAAAAATTGTTTGTTATAATTTAAAGAATTTGAAATATTTGAAAAATGTAAAAGTTTAAAACTTACTTTTATTAAACCACTCTGATCGAAGAAGTAAACACTGACACATCTGAAGAACTACTGTTGGATGAAACGAGTTATTGAAGACGAGACGTCGAGGGATAACGGAACCCATGGCATACGCCTGAAATGTTTTTCAACAATTAAACCGCTTGCCATTCAACCAACACAAAATAAACATTCTTGAGTATCAACGTAGGCAACACACCGTGCATTACGTACAATATTATTTGTTGTGTTGTACGACTGGTTACATATAATAGCAAAGCATACCGCATTAAAAATGTGTATAACTTTTTATCTATCAAAACTCTTGTATATAATTATTGTAAATGTATGGTAATGTAATCATTATTTATTTATATGCAATTAATCATATTGTCTATGCTGCAGACTAAACGATAGCCCTAAATTGTTTATAGGTCATTATTACGACAGATTTATCTGTGTGAGGTCTTCCTCAGCCACATCTAATAATTGAATATGTAAATACGTAACTACATATTAAATATTTTTGTATAATGAGTAGAAATGCGTTGAAAGGCTTAAATCATCTTTAATAAAATGATTATACAAATATAATTAGTTTTTCTTCCGGTGCCTGAAAACTCTAGCCATAAACTTAACACACCGCAACATATTGTCGTCTCCCAACATCTTTCAACACTCACGTATGAACGAATCAAGTAGGCAGAGATAAAAAGAAATGTGACCTAGTCCTGGTCCATTCTGACCTAGTAATCATCTAGTATCTCGATTATAAACGCGCTGGTCGAACGACGTGCGTGAATAGCCGCGACTCACATCACACAGCCTCCAACAAAGTTGTGTCAAACTTCAATTTCTATTAATTTCTATAACTAATTCCCTGTAACACGTTTTCTACTAAATATACATTGTAATTAAGATGACAACTTAAACATCATGGTTATTGACATCAATAAATCGTTCTAGATTTTTACTGATTTTTTTATATGACAATTTAATCTTAAAATATTTGAAATTTGGCGAAAGCTACAACCTATTTCCTGTCTTGATGTAATTCACCTTCACATCGTAGATGAAAGTGTTAAAAAAACTAAAATGCCTCAGTTTTGAATCATGTTGTATTATTATTGTAGGTACCTATATTTCGGAATATTAGTAATTGTGCAATTTACAATTTATGTACGACCTTTATGCACCCACGCTCTTGAATGATTTAAGTAGGTTATTCAAGTTCATGATCAGGTTCAGCTGTTGAGAATTATTCAGATTTCGATTTCTCGAATTGGGTTAATTCAAAATTGTGCAATCAAGATGTCTTATAGCTTGTACAGATTACCATCACTGAATCACGGAGTACAATTCTGCTAAATTTCTTAGAATGCATTGTAAAGTTGTGATTTCCGCAACAATTTATTCTCATGTAATTAGTTTACACATTTGTGTAGTTTTGTTGTGCTAGAAATCGCAGTTTGGTTAAGAACATTTATCTGTTCATACTCTAAACTTTGTAATGTTGTGTTCATTTAGTACAAGTGTATAAATATTTGTTTTATATCACAATTGTTTGATCGTCATTATTGTTATGTACCAACTGTTTTATGCGGATATAAAAACGATCGTAAAATGCACCGCGCGGTAAACGCAACGATGACATGCCATAATCAACAAGAAAAAACGCTGTAAAACGTCAAAGAAATTATTCAAACTATATTGAGCGTAAAAATGCGAAATGCTCTAAATGCTCAGTAAGCATTTAGTAAGTTACTATGTTTTTTCTGCTTTACCATTACATAATCAGTAATAAAATTTGAGTTTTTGAGATTTAAAACTTGAGTTTTAGTTGATTTAAGCTTTTATTTAGTGGCAGTAAAGTTGCAAAAGCATCGTAAAGAAAGCGTCGTATGAGATCTCAGATCAAATAGTACATCAAGAAGAAAGTAATGACTTACATTGCGACCGACTGCTGTTTGTGCGGTTCGATAGTAATCCTCAGCATGTGTGTGAATGTAATTTTTATAACACGTAAAACTAAAGGTTATAAATGATGGCATCAGGAAGCAATTAACCTGCTAATTACACTTTTACGTTTATTTTTCATGCATGTGCACATAAATATCTAGACCAGTAGACGTTTTTAAAGCAAAAATAATGCACCAGTAAATTAATTTTGAAAACAATATAGAGTTATTTTTGTTTTAATTTTTCGAAATAAGAATGCTAAACTTTTAACGGGTAATAATACGACCATTAACATGTTACTATATTCTACATTAATTAGAAATTTGCGCTGATTGAAATCGCATGTTTCTAAAATTATAACCCAATTAATCATAATTCATGGCCACTTCCTCTTTGCATGTTAAATTGTAATTTGTCAAAACATAATTACTTTCTTCGCAATAACAACTTTTTTGCTAATAACTTCTTCTTACATTTCTAAATTAATTTACAGCTGATAATTGTTAATAAAGTAATATTAAAACAATTTTATCTCACCAATAATAATGGCACACAACGATGAAGTCTATGATAACTCGCAAATTAAAGATACATCTGCTAAATTGGCGTGCGCAGCCTTTTTGCAACGATGCGCCGGTTAATGTAGCGACAAGTGACATTTTTCAACCTCGCTAATTAAAACTGTATGATAGCATTATGCAGGTGCCAGCTAGATGAACACCAGAAGAATAACCGATAAAAGCGTAGTTAGAGAACGTTAAAGTTACGTATGTTACCACATAAATTATCTTCACGATCATATAATTATATTTAAGCACTTATGGTGTTATGTTAGCGCTAATTTCAAATTGCAATTATTAATTTTTAATTAGGTATTTATTTGACAAATTTGCACAAATTATTTTAACTATGCATTTTGCAACATTTATTAGTTAATAGAATTATGTTGGTAAATATTTATTTAATTAAATTTAATTAATCAGTCATTAATATACAAATTTTATTGCTATTTTGATATTCAATTAATGCGTTGCAACACAGCTTTCTAAATCCGGTGTATGATATGTGAGGAACATTATTTATAACAGTAACAGATAGGAAGAATATTGAATTTTGTTTGTCAAAACAAAACGGTTTGTTTATGAGGGCAATTATTTTTATGCGTGTTATATTTTTGGCGATTAATTCAATTATCATAAAAAATGCCAGTCTCGTTCGACACGCACAATACTCTTTGTAAATACGCACATAAAAATATAAAATCAGTTATTAATCGAAAATAAAACGCTGACACAAATAATTTTTTTCCTTCAAAATCCGCGGTGAAATTGATTAAAAAGGCACAAATCAAAAATTTCCCTAGCAAGAAATCAAAGTAAAAGTAAAAATTGATGTTGATTTGCAGCGATTGCCCCAAAGACTCAGAATGCAAATCTCAACAGGCACAATATAAATAATTGCAATATAAAATCGCATCGTAATGAAAGTCTTTCACTTCTGCACATCGAATATAATCAACCAAGTGAATGCATCGCTAATCGCAGCGAAACGAAGCAAAGTATGGATTGAAATATGGATTGGTCAGTAGCTTGTAACGCTTTACTATCGCGTACCTGCGAAGATACGTGACGACGCATACTACGCATACCACGTCGCCGGCTGAAACTATGTGGGTTAATGTAATGTGCGTTTGCGTTAATTGGTCAGTTTTTAAATAAATAAAATTTGTAGCATGCCCGGCGCAAATATATGTACATATTTATCAGAAAGAAGTAGTGTTATATTTTCACGCACCCGACGATGCGTTCAACAACTCTCTCTTGTTATAAATAACTAGGCAAAATTAAAGTGGAATCTGTTTTCCATTAAAAATAAAGCTTATTTCACTTTTACAGTCAGTTGCGGATAATCTCTAATGTTTTCTACACAATGCATTCGTGCAAAATGTGTTTTTCATTATACATAAGTAATGTGGATATTTGCACTGTTATCTTTAGTTAAAATTAATGAGCAATAAAGATTTTAATTGGTAATTTACGAGATGCTGCTAACAGTGCAATGAATGCACTTCTAGGTAACTAGCATATGTTATTACATGTCAACATATTTAAGGAAATTTATGTTTATGAGGGAATTTGCAACTATAAACCTCAAAAACAATGTGATTTTGATATTGTAACGGTAGACCAACCAAAAATAGAATTAGTTATTATATAATAAACTTTTTCAAAATAAAAACAATTTTCCATTCCTTTCTATAACGAATAGAAAACTTATTTTTAAATATCTAATAAATAGAAACACCGTTAGTGTCGTTGGCACATTTTTTATGTTAAATCATTAGCAGGTGAACATCTTGACCCAATCTTTAATATTGAATATTGATGATCTATAAATAAACAAGTTCTTTACATCTGACCACTTCTTCTACATTCTTTAAAACTTAAATATCATGTATCAACTAAAAATCTAAATGATTTATACCTCATATTCTGTCATAATATATTCAATTTATAAATTCTGCCTCTATTCTGTGACACAGATGCCTACAAGATGAGTAGTTCCTACATGTCCTTTCAAACCAGCCTCAAATATTTTATTATAAACGCCTACTTTTACGACATTAATCTGTTTATGAATGTATGCTTGCCTTTTTAAAATAGATATAATGTAACCGTAAAAAAATTCTACATCTACAATGCGAGTAATGACAAAAACTTACCTCATTACGTGTGTAATTAGTGAGATGATTAAATTTGCATCCAGTGATCACATAATGGATTCCACTTATTATTAAACTTTCCACTCTGTTAACTAAAACTGTATTAAGTATTTAGTAACAAACTAACGTGAATTGTAACTCAGTTAAGCTTCGTGTAACTTTTGGTTTAAATATTTTGTCTTCTCAGGTATCCAAAAGTGTTATAATATTTGCTGAATGTGCCCCTTGACTTATCCACACCGGAAGAATGGATCCAATTGGCTTCTTGTTGAGCAATCGGCACGCACAGTTAATTAAACGTTTTTAAGTCGCGTTCTTACGCTTGAATGAGCATTCAATGCATTCTCCTCTTTACGCTTTTACAGTTCAGCTCAGCGTTGGTTAATATTAATGTTTGGATATCCTGGACTAGAAAATTCTCGGCAAATAATGACTTTTTGGTGTGCCTCCGTCTTCGAAGGTCAAGTGTGTGTAATTAATCACATTTGTTAATTTCGGTCGGATTTAAATCGATAGTCGTGAATGTGCGCTCGTAAAATGAAGGCGGAACTATTCGTCTGATCTAGTTAATAGAAAGTCACTTGTTTTATTCCTTCAAGATCAATCTGTTTATATATTCACGTTTTAGACTTTTTAGCTTCGTTGCTTGCTTCTTCGCATATTACAAATAATTCATTAGACATTCAATCCTGTCGCGTTTTAATGTGCGTAACACATTCAAGCTTATCGCTCTTAGTCACAGATGTAAAACGTAAGATCTAAGATGGTAGAGATTGCGATCCTATTTTCGCACTGCACTATACTTCGCACACTGCTAATTGCAATCTATAACTTGATGGTTATTCTATTTTTACTGATGATCCACACTGTTAATGGTCTTAATTGCCTACAATTCTATTGTTCCTGAAGTTTCTTCTTTGGTTTCGATATTTCGATGTTTCGATGTTGACTTGCTCAAATTCACACTCAAATTTAACACATTCTTTTTCCGCTGTTGTTTCTAGCACGGACGGTGGTCGGATTATGATTTGAAGCACACGTTTGGTGTCTTGTCTGGCCGACGCTGCGGCGAAGAGATCCGAAAATGAATTGTTAGTGCAAACTTGTTGGGAGCTGCTCGACGGCGCGCCGCTTTGGCGGAACGCATGTACGCGAAGAACTTTCGTCGGATATCAACATTTCGGGTGGGACGTGTTTCTCTAATTACTCTGGAAGGGGATTTCCTTCACTCTTCATTCAAGTTCGTCTTCTTATCTCCGTTGACAATGATAATATGTGCGCGTTTTGTGTAACTTGAGGAAGACTTTCATTTGCATACAGGCGGTTCATGATTTAAAGAAAACACGTTTAAAAGAAAGAACTAATATTATATATCCGCATACCAAGTATTTATATGAATCATGGGATATTTTTTGTGTGTTTTTAGGTCTACTAAATAATAATAGTAAAATTATTCAAATAATATCCGCAACAATCGCTAATTTTCTTGGGTTTGAAAAAGTTTCCATTCGGGTCACGAAATGCTCGTATAATTTCACATGCTTAATTTTGTTTGTTGCTTTTACTTGCAAAATTAAATCTACGAATGGTAATCAGATAAATGGTACTTACCCAATGATGCATCTTTGGAACGTTGTGATGACAACACCAAATAAGTTCAATTGCACAATTTCGCGTTCGGCACTAAACCACAACTCGAATATTAATTTTACAATCCAAAAAACACTAAAATGTTCCCACACGTCTATCAAAATTAAAACTGAAAGTACAACATTAAGGCTATGAACATTAATTCACAATGAATTTTCACTTGGTGAAATTTTCGCTTGTTTAAGGCTAACGATTACTTCCCAAAAGTAGTATGAAATGCATATTAATATTATGAACACATCTGTGTCACTTGTCTCTTCATATCGAACAACATTTATGCAAATGTTCCTTATTAGGTAGAAAGATGTCAGTGATAAAATGTAAATTAATTTAATTTGCATTTACAAGTAGGTTCAATGATAGTCAAACAATTATTGTTGACACACAATGACTCATTGTAAAGCGCTCTTCTGAATTCTGCTCCACATTTAATATGTACAAGTGTACAAGTGCACTCAGATGTTATCTAATTATGTCAAACGTAAAATATGATTTCGTATAAAAAGTAGCAAATGTTTATGTTTATACTTGTGCTGAAAGTATAATTTTTTCACTAAAATTTTGCCATGTTAGATCAAGAACCGTTAAATATGAAAGTTGACATTGTTACATTTTATAAATAAATTTTCCAGTTAGTACATTGTATGCGAATAGTAGATTACCAACAATCCGAATTATAAATCACCGAAGATTCGATGGTCAACACTGCACAATAATATGAATTGTAATTTTCTTGTTAAAACACGTTTTACAATTGTTTTCGCGTGTTCACGCCACGCGGCCCGCGGAGATACTGCTGATATATACCTGTTATTCTCACAACGATCTTTTCTTGTTATTGACAAAACTCTTCTTATCAATTTATCGGAATTTGCAGCGCACAATGTATACAACCAATGTTTCTCTTTTCTTACAATATAAACACAAATTCAATAAAAATAAAACATTTATTAACATGATTCTGTGCCTGGTGGCAAAAGAAATCCATCATTCTTACAAATATTTAACTCCTCACTATATTTCAACTCGTTATTATCACAATAAAAATCAACTTTGCTTCTAAATATAGTATCCACACTATTATTACTAGTTATATTGGTAACAACATGCTTTGTAACATCACATTTTGGAGGCTCAGGTACCGGACACTTTCCAGTATCAACCAGAAACGAATTCCAAAACTTATAATTTTTCAACCATGCTGTCATTTCAACTGGCCCTGTAATATTGCAGGTATTCCTTGGTGGTCGTGTTAATTTGAAACAATTAGTGAATATACTGAATGGTACCATCCATTCAGGATCACAGAAGGCCAATTCAAAATACATCTTGACTCGTGGATTCTTCCAATAGTAAAAACGACAACCGTAGGCTGTTATTCTGGGTGCATCTATGTAAGGCCTGCGGCCAAGCCGTTTATTATCCTTGTAGATATAGTCCAACATTATTTTTTGGCAGTATCTAATCCAGAGGCGCTGTTCGGATGGAGATCCATTATAAGTTAGCATACTTTCTGATGATTTTGAAGGAAAGATGTTAGTTAACAGAGTGCTGGTAAGGAAAACATATATGATTACTTGTTTAATGGCCAACATTTTGTTTGTAGATAAAAACAATTTGTTTGTTGTTATAGGTTTTAAATATTTTTTATCATTTAAATATGCGGTATGCAAAACATTTAGAACGTATTATCAATTTATTCAAAGTTATTTGTAATATTGTAGAATTCTTTTACGTGTTGCTTCAAATACCAAAACTAAACATATTGATAACATTATCAACAATATTCTGTACCAGGAGGTAAAACAATTCCATTTTTCTTACATGTGACTATCTGCTGACTATACTTCAACACTTTATTGTTACAATAAAAATCAACATGGGTTCTAATCACACTGTCCTTGTAATATCCACTGGTAATATTAGTAACAACATGACTGGTAATATCGCAACTGGGAGGTCTGGGCACTGGACATTTACCGGTATCAACCGTAATTAATTTCGAAGAGAATACATCATCGATATATGTATCTAAATAAGTTTCCCCGGTCATATTACACATGTTTTTCGGTGGTTTATAAACAGTTCCACAATCAGACCATGTATCAATCGGGGTAATCCATTCCAAATCACACAATTGTATGTACACTCCAATTTTCACTTGTTGATTGGTCCAATAAGAAAACCTACATGCAAATGGTATCTGATAATACACATCGATATATAACTTTCGACCAAATATTTCATTGTACATGTCGATGTAGTCCAACATTTGTTTTTGACAGATTCTTATCCATAGGTGCTGTTCAGATATAGACGGCTTATAACTATCAATATTCTTTGGTGGATCAGAAGAAGTTAAAACACTGCTGATTATGAAAACCAGAATAGTTGTTAGTTTTATATGCAACATGTTGTTTGGTAAATTAAAGATAAATTTTGTTTTGGCCACGTTTTATATTTGTGTAAGCAAAAGAATGCAAAATATTTAGTAATTATTATTATGTTATATCTATAATAGAACGCCGAATGTTTACGAAATTACAAAATATAAATTTAAAGCATTTAAATTCCGTTGATGCACGCAATTTCAAATATTTAAAATTGATACAATTCGTGCAAACTTATATATAATATGATATTGCAAGCGTTGCAATTTCTAATGGCTTTCTTGTGATAATCCTCCAAACTGGGCACTGGTTTGCGGAAAGGTGAAAGGCGCCAAGTAAACACTATCCAAAGAATGGAAACAATTAAATAGTAGGTCGGCCTGCAGGCTTACCCAAAGAATGTGCAAAAAATAATGCTTGTTAATCGTCAACGAATGCGAAATTTATAATCATAATTATTATGACACATAAAGACTATATTTGGTCTTTGTTTGGCAAGCGTAAAGTGTTTATTGTTGAATCAATATTTTGTTTTGTTATTATGCCTATAAATAAAACAAAAAAATCTCATGCTTCCTTGTTAAAAGAAAGAAAACAATTTGTGTTTTACTGCGGCGCGTCGACCGTTTTGTCCTAGAATCAGCAGTCGGTATGAGTGGCAATAAAGAACATGAATCGAATTTTGAAGCAACGAATGGCCAAAATTATAAAGTGAAACGAGAAACCTCGATACTTCATACCTCACAGACAAGAGTTCATTAGGTCTTGGATGAGCTACGTGATGTTTTGTTCGAAATTTTTGGTTTTTATTCCGTAGTTTAACATAAGCACATAGTTATATTCATCTACCGTTGGAGATAAATTATACAAGACTGAATTTAAGTGGTTATATAGAATAAATTAATGTCTAAGTTTTAATTATTGAATGGCCAACAGTGTTACGTTTAATTTGTGTCTTTTCGATTAAAAAAGCGGGTTAATGAAAATCGGCCATGTCTTTGCGATGGAATTTATCGTGAGTTAAAATATATGATCGATTTTATAACTCATACAATGTAAATCTACGCCGTATTTTATTGTCTGATTAAGTACTTTTACAGAAGCATATGTGAATTGATTACAAGCACTTGCAAGCTTCATTTTGATGTTTGTTTTATGACCTCTCATGTAATACCCGCGCGCACATAAAACAAATCGTACTTTCGGCTAAATTTAATCTTTCCAACAAAGAGAAATCCAAGAAATATATTATAACTCCGTGTTTGCAAATACTTTGTATTATCAAACACTTTATGAACAAAAAAAGATTGAATTAGTGCTGCGTATGCCTCCTACATTAGTTTATACTTTCTAACCGGTTGAAAAGTGCGCGGAAAGTAACCGCTCGACCAGACCACATCTTATTTTCACAATTTCCGAAAGGAAATCATTTGAAAACGCCGTCTTGCTGCTACTGAGCCGACCAATACCGAGTTTTGCGTTTGCGAGAAACTAAATGCGTATAAACTAGAAAATGAAAATCAAGGTCATGACTAATTACATTCCTTTATTTTGTAGATTTTAATATTAACCTATCGTCATCGAGACAGACGCTACAAAGACAAACAAAAACAACTACAATGCAATGAAAACATGACAGTGATCACGTCTCACTAGAGCCAGTAGCAGCAGACAGAAGTTTTATACGCACGTCCGCTTCGTTGGATATAAAAAATCTATTTATAGATTCAGTTTCAAGTTCTTCAAACAGATTTGTGCCTTCCAGTACATCACTACGTTTTATCATGAGCAAGTGAATTATCGCTTAACTGTGGAAACCGCTGATAACTCTTCAAATATTTATCTGTAAGGGCAATAACTGGGCGTGTTGTTTTTTTTTACATTTCAATCACGTCCACCAGACCGCATTCACTCTACTTTACTACTAGTTGGGTTCGAGTCTGAGTAAAGCATTGTTTGAATTTGTAAATTGAAGAAGTGAAAACCAAAATGAGTGACGAAGCTCCTCAATCAACGGTTCAGAAATTGTTGAAGGTAGTTGTCCCGCCGCCGGAAAGTGCCGGAAGTAAAATAACAATCGTAGGCGTTGGCCAAGTGGGAATGGCTTGTGCCTTCAGCATTTTAACACAGGTAAAACTTGTTGTAATCGAAAATACAGTTACTTCAAAAGAATGTGGACAAAATAAATCTTACAGAACGTCTCCAGTCATGTTTGTTTAATTGATTGTGTCGAAGATAAACTAAAAGGGGAAATGATGGACTTGCAACATGGTTCTGTTTTCATGAAGAACGCAAAAATTGAAGCTAGCACAGGTATTACTTCCTTTGTTAATTCTTTAAACCAAAGTTTAACTTTACATTAAATGTTTTAGATTATGCAATTAGTGCAGGTTCAAAAATATGCATAGTCACAGCTGGAGCTAGACAACGCGAAGGTGAATCACGTTTGGATCTTGTCCAGCGCAATACGGACATTATGAAATTCATAATCCCACAATTAGTTAAACATTCACCAGATACCATGTTGTTAATTGTTAGCAACCCCGTTGATATATTGACTTACGTGGCTTGGAAGCTCAGCGGATTACCCAAGAATCGCGTCTTTGGATCCGGGACCAATCTGGACTCTTCTCGATTTCGTTTCTTGATTTCCCAGAAGTTGGGCATAGCACCCAGCTGTGTTCATGGGTTTGTTATTGGAGAACATGGAGATTCAAGCGGTAATAATAATAATTTCATTAAATAATAAAGAAATATTTGTTTGTTTAGTTCCAGTATGGTCGGAAGTAAACGTAAGCGGAATTAGACTTTGTGAACTTAATCCGAACCTCGCCGGTTGTAGTGACCCTGAAAATTGGGCTAAAATACATCAAGATGTTGTTGAAAGCGCATATGAAGTGATAAAACTGAAAGGATATACTTCATGGGCAATCGGTTTGAGCGTCTCGAATATTTGCAACGCCATTTTTAGAAACACGCAGAGTATTAAAGTTGTATCCACTCATGTACAGGTAAATAAAGATTTTAAAGATGTTGTGGTACCGCTTCCATATAAAAATTAATGAATTCTAGGGAATTCATGGTGTTACCGAAGATGTATTTCTGTCCCTGCCGGCTGTCCTGGCTGGAAATGGTGTTAGTCAAGTGGTCCTTCAAGACTTGACCGATGTGGAGAAGGGTAAACTTAAAAAGTCCGCTGAATTAATACAAGAAGTTCAAAATGGTTTGCAATATTAATAAGATACCATTGTGAATAATTTATATATTTGTTACCTATTGATGAAACTATTTTTATCAATGATTAATACGTATTTAACCTACATTGGAAAATATACACATCATATCCTCGAAACTGAAAGATGTAAAAAATTGTTCTAGTACAAAAATTAATCTCTTGGTAACTGCCACGCACGCAAATTATGCAAAATACAGATAGACTAGTTTCACATACAAGTAAAAATTAGTTCCGTTTAAAAATATTGGCAATATTTGCATTCGAACGCTATGTACACTAATGAAACGAATCAAACGTAATGAGTGGCACATGAGAAACGATTTCAAGCGGCACGTATTAAAAAATAAATTAGCAAAAAATTAGTATTGTTGCAAGACTAGTGAGAAAAAAACATAGCCGCATTCTCATCATCACGGGCGTCATCATGCCAGGCCTGAATCGACGTGCGTGCGCCGCTTTGAATCGGTGCGCTGGACGCCGTGGTCAGGCGTGGACTTGAGAATGTCCGGCTGCTGATTTGTGATGGTGTTGTTAACCATCGACTGCGTGACGGAAACCATTGTACCGCGACTTAACGTGCCCAATAGCGGCGTACCAGGATTATTAATTAAGAGATTCATATAATCGGCGATTAGTAATGTTAACTCTAAGATTTTCGGTTTGCTTAGGGAAAAGATCAGTTTCTGAGAAGGTTGTTGATCGTTTTGAGTAACGACTAACATAAAGTCTTCCTGGCAGCCGCCGAAAGTGAGCACGTTAGTGTAGGCGTATCGGACGCGCTGTTGCATGTTCGCCAGCTCCAACACGGTTATTGCATCTTCGTTCACAGCTAACCATATCATTGGAGCATCTGGCTGTCGTAATTTTGCCTGTTCAACAAATGAACGCTGCAAATTATCTTGCGACAAATACAAAGTATCATAAGAAAATACCTGAAAGAGGGTTGCTCCAAAGTATGGCCATTTTCTAGTGCATGTGAGGTATATCCGCACGCAGTCTAATTGAGTTCGTCCCTTTAAACTCCTCCATTTGTCGAGTAGTTTGCCCTGGAGCTCGGTGAGGCCTTCTTGCGATAATTGATCGCGATAGCGATATGGATAAAACTTGTCGATTGCACTAAGCGTTTGATTCGAATGCGCCGTTAGAATGTTGTGAACATTATTTAAGGCATTTAAGGTATGTGATGTTTGTACAGTGTGATTTGGGCCGCTGGCGGCTTTGTGCGATGTGCTCTGCGTTCCCAACGTGGCGGTCGCGCTTTGTACGATCTTGGCGTTGAGCTGCGTTGCAGTGTTCTTGTGCGTATTGAGTGCGTTCAACGAACAATCACCCATGTCCAACTGGGCCATGAGCGAGGCCAACTCCAGCGCTAATTCGCGGCTGAGTGGGAACCTTCCAGCTACGATTTGCTTGTTTATTTGATAACATAATAAAAGTCGCTCTTTATCCGTCTCCAGTTTCGCGCTATTTTTCCACCACAGCCGATTCTTGTAAGTCAGTCGAATAACTCGGCTATTCTCAAATTTACCGAGTCCTTTCTCACGTAATGCGATTTCCCACTTCGAGATCAAATCGCATAATTTTGCGCTTGGATCCAACGTATGCTCCAGATCCTTCTCTATTGGATCGTCGCTGAATAACGCAAAACCATTCGTTACTCTACAGCCAATTTCGTGTGCAAAACTATCTTGAAACTCTTTGATGGTCGTTGAGCCATCGAAACTAGATATGTGATAGGTGCCATTGAGCAGGTGCACCGGCATAGAATGCGGCATGCTGTGATGTTGCGGATTCTTCAACAGTATGCTAAGAACCTCCATTCGTGATGGCTTCAGTTCGCGTCCACCTGTGCGCAAAATAAGCGACTATTAGTCAACCCGCCCGCGCTCTTAATTAACAAACTTAAATTACCCATTAATATGGTTCTCTCCAGGGCCCGCTCGCAATACGCGGCGTATTTGCCGCATTCGGTACGATTGTCGGCGTTGCGCTGCAGATGCAACTTGAGAAACCAAAGCAACCGCGACGATTTAGGCACGAACAAACTGACGGCCAGAGCCAGCAACTGCCAGCCCTGCAAGAGCGAAAAGCTCGGCGGGCCTTTGTGATCTTTGTGATGTGACTCCTTATGCTCCTTGTACTTCTCTTCCTGGACAGCCTGTATATTAGAGGATGCAATTTGTTGATCAGAGGTACTATTAATACTTGGAGTTGTCTCGCAAGTGAACAAACTCTGGGTAGCGCAAAGAAGCAGTTGCTGAAAAGAATTTTGGTGTTTCTTATTGATGTCCTGCACATACCCGTAATTATCAATTAATTAACTAGTAAAGATGATATATATTCAACAACCCCCCAATTGATGCGTGGTGGTGTGTACGAGTGTCGCTACGATGTAATGTGCAACGATTTACGCTTCGATAGTACAAAGAGAACGCAAACCGCATGAAGTATGTAAACAAATTGTATATAGTACAATGTTTGGGCATGATGCAACAGGATAGTTAGAGAGACAATCATAGCCGCATCTAAGTCTAAACACATTCATAAAGAAACCATCGCACGCCACCAAATGGAAGGCGCATTCGGAATCGCCGACGATAACAAATGCGTCTTACAATCGGCCTGTGCTAGAATGTATAATAATAATAATCATAAGAAAACACCAACATTCTTACCAAATACACATTGTTCATTGTTCTGAATTTCTATGAATGTTTTGCTCCATGCAACATAAATGACTGACTAGTAAAAGCATGTTTGTGAAACAAAATGAAAAACGATCAGTGCAGTAAATATGCGCGCAATTGCTTCTTAAAAACTAAACAGAATTTTCTATTTTCTTACAGTAACGCAACTAGATCTAAACTAAGTGTTATAACTAGTTGCGCTACTGGAGTGATAAACTAAAAAATGGCCCCTATTTCCACGTGAGATCGACAGGCACTAGTTTTTAGTTTGATGAAATGGGGAGATTTGTAAGATCATAAAAACTAAATAGAAAAAGCACACTTACACCTTTCTTAAGCAATTTTTGTGTAGATACCTGAACACCGAGTTTGGGTAGCGGCGCGCTCTTGCTCGTTTGTTTGACAAGCGCACATACGAGCTCGGCCTGCAGCTCAGGCATATCGAGGCATTGCTGAAGCGCGTTTTGCGCCAGCACCACGTGATAGTCGATGCCGGCTTGATCGACGGCCGCCGACATGAATAATTGCAAACACTTGAAGAGTTTTATTGCTTCGGTCTGCAAAGAGTACATTTATTAGAACGTAAAAGTACCCAAACGATGGTATACTCACTTGAAGGTTTTCGGACGTGAGCGTGGTTAATGGAAAGTACGAGGGAATAGCGCCGTCTTTAGTGCAAGGCACGTGTAATAGCACTGGATGTCGCCATAGGACGCAATTCGGATCGCCGTCGACATCCATCAGCTTGTGAATTAATTGCTCGTATTGTGTACCGGTGCTCGGTCCGCCGCCGCTCGCTACCGTTAAATGATACAGCCAGGAATCTTTCTCTTGTTTACCAGGACAAAGGATATATGTAGGACCTTGATTCGTTGGAACGATCCCAATCGTAAAATCAGGCAGTTCGCCGTCTTTTTCCTCCGAATCCGAATCGGACAAATGCTCAACTTCCTCTACTCTTGCGTCACGCATGTTTATCTGCCCGGCTGGAGTCTGTCGAATGCAATAAACATGAGTAAATTAATATTGATGCGAATCGATTCAACTTACCGCATCCGTAGCAGTCTTAAAGTATAAAAACATTTTGCCGATCAAGACACACCAGCATTTCTTAGGATGGCCGTTCTTGACCTTCGTGAGCCAGCCTTGGACAGATGGCTTGTTTTCTTCACGGCTTAATAGTAACTTGGTTGCGTTTCTTCGTTGTACGTTTTGTAAGGTGCGCACCCAGTCCTCGACAGCAGTAATTGAATCAGCAGTCAAGTAATATGTCTTTTTACCAGTGTCAATCTCAAATGTGTTGGAACCTTCTGCTCGGGTGATCTTGCAGATATCGTCGAGGAGTATTTGCCCTTGCGGTTTTCGGCTGGTATCATTCTGGCTTTTGTAATATGTGAGCACGCCATGTTTTAAAACAAACCAGCGCTTTCGCCAAGTCTTCAGTTTACCACCTAGAAAAGCCGCCATTTGCATTTGAATCAAAGCGCAAAGGAGTTTTATATAATACCCACCTAATTTAGCTAATGAACCACTCTTTTCCAAGTTCTCCGTGCGCTTTGGACTATCTAGATAGGAGGAAGCTCTTAAAATGAGCGACGATTCCAAACTGGTCGTATCGCAGCTAAGGGCATCCGGTGGTACGGCGTAGTCATCGGACATGCCCGATTCAAACGAGGTATCTGAAACGCCTGTTTGTTAAACACAAACAGAACCGGGTGATCCGGGAACGTGATTAATGAAAGTGCAAAATAAAAAACAAACAAAACCACCAGGTTGGAATGATGATGATGTATATGAAAGGGGGAGTGCATTTACCTCTAGTTTTGCTTTTACTTGGCGAACCACTGCTGCTGGACGCGGTGCGTTTACCGGGACTTGAGCCAGAAGTTTCACCCGAACTTCTACTATGCGTGTGTGTCCCATCCACCGCCTGCAACGCATAAATCAGTTTCCACAATTAGCCCGGATGAAAATACATGCGAGCCACTAGACAAAACTCACCGTCGTGTTATTGCCTTCGCCATCGCTGGAATCGTCACTGGAATCACCCGTGAACGGCATCGACCGAATCTGACTCGCCCGCCCCTTAACCGTTGCGTATACCGGCACCGGAATATCCTGATACCCGGCTTGTTCAGGACCAACATCACTCGGTGTTGTTCCAGTTAATGTCAGTCCATCAGCAGCAACTTGATAGATACGATCCTCCCAGCTGGGGAATCTATGCAGAGGAGGCGTGGGTGCACGTGGCCACGGTGCTTTCTCCCGACTAGGCGTGTAAATCTCAGCGTAATCATGTGCAAGATCCGAATCGGATGCACTACTCGGCACGCGACCACCCAAGCTGAGATTATCAACCGCCGCACGTAGGTCCTCAGCGAGTGGGTCCATGGCGGATGGTATATACGAATTGATTAAATTGCTGGGAATCGCCGGCTCGAAGGTGGACACGGATTGATGCCGACGATGTCTGGACGAGTGCGGTGAGGATGTGTGCGAGAGCGTCTTCGGCTCGGGCGAACAGCTCTCCGATCTACGCCGGTCGGCGAGCGCGAGATGATTGCGTAGCAACTCTAGCTGCTGATTGCATTTAATGTTCTGCTCGCGCAGCGTCTGATTCTGCTGCTCCAACTCTTTGAGCTTATTGGTGACCCATTCCTTGATTCGCGCAGTCTTTGCTTCCACCTGCCGCGCGTCTTGCAGGCGCAACTGCTTCTGTTCTTCCACTTCGGTCTCCAAGCGAACAAGTTGCGTTGTATTGCCGTCACTCTGCTGCGACCACGCTAACTTCTGTTCCATTATTCGAACCTATGAATACAAACAAACAAACCAAGCGATAAATATATTTCCAAGCACAAAAGACCTATTAATATAGATAGGTACCCATTTTGGAGATTAAAAACGCGAGAACAAAGCACAATGAAACAAGATGAGTTGCAATGCGGCACACTGGCGTATTACGACTGCACGCGGATATTCTATAAACGGCGCCGGAGCGTCGCGACGCTGTCACTAAACTTCCCCAACGAGGGTGCTTGCCCCCTTCTGCATACTGGCACTTGGCCAGACGAAGCAAACAGCAATAACACAGAAAACTTTAAGTGACACACACGCAATCAAGAACCAACAGCAAGAGTCAACACACGGGACGCGTTGTACTAAAAATACAAACGAACGGGGTGCGCGCAACTATACTTCAACTACACCGACCGCTGCACACATTGCACAGCTGTTCTTTAATGAATATCATTAACACATTCCACAAAAAGAATAAAATTGTTCACGTTCTTGAAAACGCAGTGACGTCGATGAAAGCTCAAACCGAAATGCGTAATTCTATTTGTCCGGAATGCGTCGCGATAAGGGAGCGTTTACCACGGCGGTGATGACTCATTTAATTTTAACTCGTATAGGGGGATCGAACCCTATTTGCGAACTACTGTATACAACATGAGAAGAAGCGGGGACGCATCATCTCTTGCGTATTATGTTACATGTGCTTTTTTAAATCCCCTACCCAACTGTTTAAAAATCGTAAAGATGTGTGTTAGCGAATTTTCGGAATCAAAACCAACGAAATCATTAATATTAAATCCTATTACCACCCATTGTTGTAGTTCAGTATGTAATAAATTTAAGTTAAAAAGTTGTGCACTATCTTGATCGGAATTTAAAATGAGCCGCCTCCACCGCTACCGCAATCTCAAGTTAAGGATTATTTACAATCCGGCAGGTAGCACGCTAATTGACCATATTACGTGCCAAGAATAACGGAATAAAGCTTGCGTTGCCAACAAATAAAATATTTCTTAAAAATATAACGCGCGGAAATCCGGTTCTGATGATGGGAACCAAACTTATTAATTTTTTATTATTTTCACATCACATAGCGCAAGGGAAATGCGATATCCGGTCCAATAAGATGTCTTGAATAAATGATAACGCAATATGTACTTGGAAATCATCAATACGCGGTTTACGATGACGGATCAGTCAAGGTACATGAACCTTAGCTCCCCACACACTGTTAAACAAGTACACGCCGGCTGAAAATACCACAAACATAAATCATGAAACCATCATGATGCAATAAGCCGGCGTGCACAGACTTCTGATCAGCGAACATGCACGGGAGTGAATCAAAATGCATTGGAAATGTCGCAAATTCGTTAAGATCTAAGATGGACGCAATTGGATTTCATGCCACACATTTCCCAACCTCAATATACATTTCAAGCACATGATATAAATAAAACTTCGGGAAATCATAGTAAAAAAGCACATGTCTATCCTACAAGTCTATGAGGATGATAGGGGTTACTTACGACAACAAGATAACATGTCCGACACTTAAAATCGGTACGTAATTAACGTAGAATCAGCTAGTTAAAGCGATAGAGAAGACACAGAAACACACACAGCGAAAGATAAGGAATCACAGAATCGAGAAAGAATATTTGCCGAAGGAGTTACTCGTCCTCTGTGGTCCGTACGTGCACGACCCTTTGTAATTGCAATGCACACTTACATTTTATCACTTATCCGATAGAAATATCTTGGTTACGCGAGCGCGTTTGCGAACAAATGAAGCGCGACGAAAAAACTAATCGAGCAGACGAACCGAATGGCAACTTAGGAACAATCTCGCGGCCGCGAAAATATTTGCTATGGTTGATTATTTTTTTGCGTACACTCTGTCAGCTGCCAGACGCCATGGCCACCACACGAAACGCACGCACGAGCGCCAGCGTCGCGACGCTGAAATAATCAATAGGGGTACGGCGATAGCGAAAGTGAGACGCGTCGCCTAGCAACGCGATACGTCCACTCCAGACAACACAAGGGCAGGATAAAAGCAACATATCCAGCTTCCCCATTGCAAAACATTAAAAAAAAGCAAAAACCAGATAAAATTAAAAATACGCAATTAAAAGATATTTTCTAAAGTTTAAGAGAAAAGTTTGGTCATTGCATTATTTACCTTATCCTCCGCTTCCTCGGCTCGTCCTTCCGCCTCCAGGACCCGTTGCTCGAGCTCGGAGAGCTGAAAAACAAAACAAAAACAAATTAGCACTTCCGGTTTCATTATTTCAGCCGATTCAGAACATGCTGCGCCATCTGTTGCACGCCACTGTCAACCAGGCACACTCCGAATATAACCACTAGAGGGCGCAAGCATGTACTATCCGAATATTTTCCCCCTATTCCACAACCCTTCGCGCCTAAGGGCGAAAACAAGCAGAACATTGCTGGTATATGCCAGCAGCACAACTGTAACAACATCACATCAGCATTCGTGACAACATTGCGATCTGCCTGTTCGTTTTCATACCCATAATTTAATATTTATCCACATCCAGATCCACCCTCGGGGCTGTTTGACTTGAATAAATACATAAAGTATTTATATTCCAAAAATACAACAACAGACCCAATTCATTTTGGAGAGGATGTGAAAACAATGTAAAATGTACCGGGACAAAGGACGCGGCTCAAAATAAACAATATTTTAATTTAGTTCTGTTTGTTTGATGGAAAACATTTCGGCGGATCAACAAAATGGAAAAAATCCATTATAACATGAAAAATGAATATACAAATTGTGGTATCATTTATTTAAGTAAATACCCCTGTCGTCTGCCTTGCATAAACATTCATTTTTTTCAGAATGTTCATAGCAAAGCATAACTTTCGTCACGGTGTGGCCAAGGGAGGTGGCGGCAGAGTAACGAGTAACTTTTTGGCATTTGAATTTGGTGTATGTGAATATCTAGCCAAACAGTTTGCTCGCGGCAATTTATTATCCCCTGTTTAACCCACATCTTCGCCTTGCATAATTCATGCCTGCTCAGATCAAGATTTTGGCTGTTTGGTTTTCGACGTGGCGGCGCGCGCTTCGCCCCGCAGTTGAAAATTAAAATAGAAATGTTTTGGTCGGCGCGCCAACCCGCCTGGCGCCCGAAGAGTTATTACTCCAGTAAACAAGTGACTCGAGAAAAGCCGATAGGATTGCAGCCAAAAAGGACGCCGCCGCCCCCGTCAGAAAACAGCGAAGGCAGCGAGAATGCAACTTTAACTGCACGAACGTAAATAACAAGGCGATTCTTGTGGGATTTCCGTTTCTGATGTGGAATGTCAATTGCACCCAGCGCATATATGGTATTCATCGCTTGTTGTGTATTGCAATCTTCGCCAGGGCGAGATTCGACAGGGGGAAGGAAAGTGTTGTCAACTAGTAACCACGTAACGTGCGCGCGCGCCTCGCGCCAGACACGCACAACCTGGATGAAGAATCAAGTGATTTATGTTCTCTCCGGTGCGCGCCGCCTCGCAGCATGTGTGTCGGGCCGAGTTTTCCACATGTATCGATCCCCCCAGGAGTTCCTTACCCCGGCCGCGCGCGCCAAGCAAACCGCACGCTTTTGTTATCACTTCGGATGAAGATGGTTATGACCGTTGCATGCCAGTGAAAATGTTTAACTCTAGAATACTCACGAGCAAATAAATACGTTGTAATAATGAAAAGTTTAGTATTCCAGGGTTATAATGCAAAGTCTCGACCGCTGCAACCGCAGACAACGCGGATCGTGAAGGAAAACACAGCTACGGTTGGTCTCTCCGTGGAGAGAGATATAATCGATCAATATTAAAGGAACGGGCGTCCTTTATGAGAGCCACCTACTAAACACAAAACGTTCCGCTAAGCTCTCCGCTCGCCGCCGCCTCCACTGCTCAATCCGAGAGCAATGTGCCCCGTTCGACACCAACAGCACCCCGACGAAACGGTTTACGAACAGTCGACACATGTTCAGTGAATATTTGATTAATTATGCACCACTACTATTAGGGCAGTGTTCTATTTTACAAATTGGTCTAGGAAACAGGTGTTGCGAATATACAAACGAGCGTGGGCAGCGTGGGCGCGCGCACATCTAACATAATAGATAGCGTTTCGGGGTTGCCGCCACCGGCTGTAAACCGGCTCCGCAAACAGGTGCGCGCTATTTCGGATTAATTACCGAAAAGTTTTATAATCAACTTTTTTTTGTGTGTTTTGGGAAATTAATTGGAAAGTCGAGAATTTATCGGCGGAAATTAATCAGGCCAGCGTAGAAGTAGCGGCGCAGAAGACGCGAAAGTAGGTTTATTAAAAAAGTTTTGCAAATTACCGAAAACGTTCAATTAAGTTATGAACAAAGCGGGCGCGCGTAGTTCTGGCGCCCCGGCGGCGCAATTTGCAATCGCTCATATACATACAAATGCTAAATGAGATCGTAAAACAAAGAAAGATCCACGACCGCCGTCGTATCAGTCAACCGCCCCCCAAACATCGCACGCCCAGTGAGTTAGAGTTATACGGCGAGTAGTAACTGTAATAATAAAGTGGCGCTTCTTTTTTTTTCGCGGTGAGCAAGCGCCAAGTTATTGTAAAAAGGAAATAAAAAATATAATTCGCCGTCTGTGGAACTCGGAATAACATCCGGGGGGCAGCCGCCCCGCTTGCGCGAAATTATTCATTCTTTTAAATTAAAGAAAAACTTTCGGGTCAAAAGAAAAACGCTGAATATTTTTTACGCGCGCGAGATGGGAATCCCCAATCATATTAGAGTGGGAATATTTTTCATTAATTCCTCTCGCCGCGCCCCGCAGCGCTAAATAACAGCAAACCCACCACACACACACACAATGAAAGCGAAAAACGCGACGTCATGAAAGGCGCGCGGCGGAAATTGAAGAAAAACTAGAGATCTCTCGTGCGAAACGAACACGTCATATGCAGTTTTACGGATGTAGCTTTTCATCATCGTGTATATTACGCGGATGAATTCTTGGTTAAATTGAATTCGCTGAAGGAAAATTTATTTATGTAGTTTGAGTTTGCTTTGCACAACACGAAACAGCCCGAACACAAACACATGTGGCATGTTGGAGTATACAAGTTGCAATCCGCTTCGTGATGATGCAAGGCCGGAAAGAAAAAGTGCTTAAACTTGGATGTGGTTTTAGTTTTATGGATGTGGCGAAAGGCCTCTTCGGGTGCGCGAGCTTTTCCCACCATGATTGCAACTGAATGGGAATACAGTCTGAGTGATGTTTAGCACAGGCCCGTATTAAACAAAATTTAAAACAAAGATTTTACCCTCAATAATCTCAAATAAAACATCTAATTCTATAAAAATAAATAAATATAAAATTTGTATGAGAAATAATTTTTGATTAAAATCAAAGTTTTCAATACGTTTCTTTAATTTTAAGACGACGGTGAAAGGCGCAGGTATTGAATGTGATAGTATTCGAAGGGTAGCTTTTTCGCACGTGCCTCGAAATTTAAAAGCACCAATATACTCAAGTGCAACACGTGGTTTATATTTTCAACATACAATATACGTACATACACACACCATCACCAAACAAATAAACACACGAACGTAAACAAGTTGATGCAGGAGCGACGTTTTTAAGATTTTATCCGGGAGAAAAAGATTTCAAAGCTTCGTAAGTAGCTCGAGTTTATTAAATTTCTCCTCATCTGTGCCTGACGTATTATTAAATGGCAAGCGACCAAAGGGAACCAAAGAGAAAATCCGAAGGGTAACAACAACAACCGCACCACGACGACGAAAATATAAAAAAAAGGGACGCTGTGCGTATTTATAGATATTTTTTATCTGTAAATAAGGACGCACATACGCGTGAACAGAGTGCCGGAATATAAGTAAGCAGTGAATTTCTGCTAAAAAGGGATTAGAGCCCCACACAGAAAAAAAGATGCCGGCCCGACTGTGGATTCTACATCAAATGCTTTTCCTTCCACAGCCGGCTTTTTCCGCTTTTCCGGCCCACCCTCTCTCGATTTGTGTATATTCGTATTTTATTTGGCATGTTGTGCGTGTGTTGTGTGCACGCTGGGCATAATAAGATCGATAACAAGAGTAACAACTTTAATAAATAAAAGCAGCGAGGGAGGATGCGACGAAAAGCTGATTACAAGTCGGAATAAATAGCCGGATTTGAAGTCCCCCGGAAAAAAAAGCGCCGGCTAAAATGTGGCAATTGGAGAAATTCAAAAAACCTTATGCTAATTCCAACGCACCGCTTTTTAAACTCCGAAACGAGCAATTTATTTTCAAATTAAATGAAACGCAAATTTAAAAGTTGGCGACTTTTTTCCCTGAAATGCGATTTGGCTGAAACTCGCGTTAAACTCGTCGAAACTTTTAAATACTTTCTACGCGACAATGATTCGAATGATGAGAGTTGAATCAATATCGCCAACTTATAATAAAAATACGTAAATGCAATTTGTTACCTTCCGCAACATGTCCTCCAACGAGTCCATGTCGGAGCCTCCGTTATTGTTGTTGCTAGGCTGCACCATCGATTTTAAAATGCACCCAAATTAAACACAATCAAATTTGCTCCCTTGGAGCAAAACCAACTTATTAAATAACAAGCAGTGGTCAACGTAGCACAAATTTTTCAAACGTTCATCTTCCCATCGTTGTTTCAACACGTTTCCTGAACATCACACCACATTACATAATAAGAAGTGATGAAAAAATATTAATTATTAATTAAATTGTCAAGATGCTAATTAATCATCGTCAAAATTTGAGTGTAGCGAAATCCGTAGAAGCAAAAGTGCGTGTCTATTTTTGTTCGTCTTCACGCCGCTAGCGCGATGCTTTTGTATCGTTGTGCGCGAAGAAAGAACTTGAAAGTTGTATAATTCGCGGCGTGTGCTTAAGATTGGCGACGATGAAAACTTTGCCGCCTTCGCCATAATAAACTTAAGTAAACATCATTAATAAAAGCAATTTGAGCGGGTGTCGGATTCCCCTTTAGGCGGAGCGCAGTCGCATGGATTTTTCCTCATCGCATTCGTGGCACGCAGTCGGACACTTTTCCAACTGTTTCGCCGCCACCGTCGTCGCCACAGCAGTTCGCGGTGCACTTTTAAAGTGAAAAAAGAAATGAAAGAAACACACAGAAAAACGCCCAAATTTATATTTCCGCGCGCCGCATGCTGACGCTCTCACAGCGCGGCGCTATGAATTCGATATTCATTAAACGTCTCCTCGCACCCTTTACATCATGCACACGTTTTGAGCATTGAATAAAATCGCCGAAACTGTGGCGGAAATAAATTAACAATTGTGGGTGCATGCTGCTGTGCTGATGCTTAAGCCCGCCGCGTGAGAATTTTTATGATGCCAAAACGCATTTCATATAGATTTTTATGAGCAGGTAATAAAATGAATAAGAAAATAGCCGGTTATTGTTGCTGCTTATGCGGCAGCGTGTCGAGGCGCATAATAAAGCGGGGCACGCACACCAAGCCACTCCGGGCCAAACAACAATAAGAGGGCTAGTAGTCGGAAAATTTAAAACCCCTTCCATGGAAAAGAAGGGCGAAGCGTATCGTAGTCGTTCGGTACTCATGATATTCAAGCGACTGCACGCCGGCGGCGGCGGTGGAAAAAGAGAAAAAGGCCAACGGGGCATTGTAAATAAATAATTCAGGAGCGCATAAATAGGCGGCGGCGGCATCGGGGGCATGCAGCAAAACGATTAAATAATAAATTCGACTTGCTCCCTGGGCATGCGTTTTTCTCGGGCTTGCGAAATCAAAAATCTCCGCTTGATGTTGTTGCTAAATGCCACTTCGGTCGAGTTATTTCAAAAAGGCCCCGAAGGTATCAAAATTTATTACGCATTTCGAAAATTTTATTCCTGGATACAATTTAATTATGAAAACTTAACATAAGTGACAATACAAAATATACGCGTTAAAGGAAGAGAATTGAAGCACGCCGCCGTCGACCTAAATAACACGCTGTCATCGCCCCCCTTCGACGACACCGAGAAAATATAAACACGTATCGTGCGTCGGCTCGTTCCCCTCATTTTCTAACAATTTTCAAACCCTTTTTCCACCCGATAACATAATCAGGTGACACGCGCGGTTAAATTGCGCCCCCTATGCTTTATGCACTCTTGATTATTATTTATTCTCGCAACGTTGTTTTGAAATTGAAAACGTGTGTTACAACGCAATTAATAGGCAAAAGCCAGCATTTCGTTCGTAATTACGCCCAAGTTAATAGTTTACTCCGTAACCTCAAACACGCATAAATTCCAAATCGACATCTACACTGTTATTAAGTGCAACAGTGAAATAATTTGCCATAGACGAACCGAAAACGGTTTTAGCGTGAAAAATTGCTCAGTCGCGGTATAAAAAGTGTTTTATTGAGATTTTCTTTTTAGCACTTTTTCTGGGTTAACTGTCCCCGCGCCAACTTCTTGAGTTAAACTTTTTTCCTTCGCACGGCAATTTGTCAAGATCAAGTTCGCCGTTAAGTTGTTGCTATTACTTTATTTATGTGCGCGCGTATCGAAAAACATAAATCGCCGCGTCATCAATTAGCACCTTGACGTTTTAATATCACACACCAAATTAATTAAATCCAGCACTCCACACAAAACACACAAAAATTAAGTTTCTAAAGTAAACAATAAACGAAACAGTTTGGTTGATTGAGTCATCGTGATTTGTTTCGAGTGGAATTACTCCAGCACTCAACTCACTCGCGCGATATATTCAAATTTGTAAACGGCTAGAGAAGCCGCCGCCAGGATATCGCATGTGCGAACGCGACGAGCGTCGAAGCTTTACTAGAGAGTCTCGCGCGCGCACGGCGCCCCCGACTTGGTTAGCAACGTTTCGGTGATAGCGCGCGTTGCGATGTGTCCGCCTCCGCCGCCTCCACACAGTCTCCCTCTCACTCAGCGCTGGAAAATGACATGCGCGACGCTCGGGAAAATCTAATCTATAACATCATATGCACATCACATCACACATTCCTTTCGAACGCATGTTGAAATATTATTTACTCAAAACGGACCTTTCAACACACAAACGAAAGCGCTGAGAAGAAAATATAAGAAAAAAGACGGAAAGGTGAAGCACGTAGCTGACTGTAAACAGACAAGTGCTGAATACACTCCACACTCGGGGAGATCCACGATCCACTTGTCCAATTGAAGGAATCGCGCTCAGAAATTGTTATTTTTTCCGCTCGACAAATATTTATATTATTTATCATGTTTGCCAGGCAGTACATACATGTACGTACACTTCAATTGAATACAATTCACAATTCAGGTGTATCCATCGCGCGCAATGATGAAAATTGATGTTTGCTTATGAAACAACAAATCAAATACATGAGTGGAAAATTGAAATTTCATTTACTAACTAAATATTTTCATTTAGTTGTAATTCATTCCATAGGTTATTAAAATTACAAATTGATAGTTCATATTTCACAACAATATTAATTTAACTGCCCAAAAATACGAACAATATTTTTTAAATTTAAATTGTTAATAACTTTTCATACAAAACTCCAACCAACAAAATTATTTCACATATAAATGTGGAATGTATTTAGGAACATATTTATGAACGAATTATTTATGTACTACAAATATCTTTAGAGGAGTAATTAATTAAAAACCACAAAATTTCAAATAATTTCTACAATTTTTTTCATTACTAAAATTAAATTTTTATTATATTAATAATAAATTATGAATAAAACAAATATTTTGTTAATTTCTTTAATAAATTACCCATGTTTTTCAAATTATAAACAAATTGATTTCCGTAAACTATGTAAATTATTCGAACATAACAATCACATCGGCGGTTGGTGGTAACTACCATGTTCCTGTCACTGCAAGGTAACCCGGAAATACTTGTCCACAACTTGCAACATTCTCTGTCATGCCAAGCACAAAACACAAGTGACACAATAATTACACCCCATTGTGCCAATACTCTCGACGGCAGCCGAACAACACGTCTTAATTTCAGCGCGCAGCAATAAAAAGGCGTTTATAAACTATTCCCCGTTGGTTATTCAACATAATTGCAGGCAGCTACCCACCTGCCTTGTGCAGCTAAGAAGAAAATTAAGGCTCTAATAATCGACGATTACATTCCGCCCTCCATTTCACTCACAATGCAACAATTACGATAAGCACGCGAGTTTACTTTATTAAGTCGCGTATTTAATAAGCGCCAGGCAATTAAGACACATTTAAAAGGTATTTAGCGTTTCACCCTGCTACACACAACACAACACAATATCGTATTAGTGTTGGTGGCGGTGGTGGCATGCTAAACGGAGCTTGGAAAAAAAAGCGCGTGCCGGAAAAGCGTCATAAAAACGAGCGAGAACGCAAGCAGCGAATTCGTTACGCGTTCGAACAAATAACAAATTTAGCGCATTCGTGTTGATAAATAGTAAGATTTTTCCTTTAATTAAATGAAACGAATGGCAAGTCCTTGTAGCGGTATTAAAACGGCTCATGCTGCCCCCACATCATGACATTATTCATAAAATTTGAAGTATTTTTTTTTGTTTTAACCTGAACATAAATAAAATAAGCGCAATAAAACGCAAAACGCACAAAGAACGATCAGATGAATGGAGGTAATAAATCCGTTGATTAATAAAGCGAAAATTGATAAACAATGATTTAATGACGAACACTTTTAAATTACGCCGATAACGTCTGACTGCTGGTAATTTATTATATCCACAGGTATTTCTATTGTGTGAGTAATGCGTTCTCGATTCGGATTGATTAGCATTAGCTGGCGAACGAAATGATAGTAATTGATAATAATCGAAGTTACGCTATTAATTAGACGCGTTTGTTTTCCGCACGTCGGCGCGTATATTGATTAATTCGATGTGGCACGGCGCCGCCCCCAGCGCGCGCTGCCGTTTTGCCTGCTTGTGTCGACAACCTTCGAAAACGATGCGATGCTTACATATTACTTATTGACGGCGGCATGTTTTCGGCGCACTCAACGCCGCCGTTGGGAATGTATGCGCGCCCGTAACGAAATTGACGTACTATTTGTGTTTAATCTTGTTAAGTGGATGAAGCGTCTATCATTCAATCAATCAATCCATATCGGGCGCAGCGGCGGTGTTGGGTCTGTGAGTCGCTAAGTCAACAACACCCCGGCAAACTCAGCAAGTCCTTTAAGGAAGTTTTTGTCGATGCAGCATCAAAGTGTTTGATTTGGAATTTTCGCTTTATACTTTATCTTTTATTTACAAAATGAACAAATTCGCAGAAATACTATTTTACTGCATAAAAATATGAATTAAAATTTATAATAAAAAAGTTTTCTGCATGTCCTAGAATTGACTGGAATGGCGCAGCGCTTTTCGCATTCCGTCGAGCTTCGTCCTGCATTTGATGTTTGTTTCTACCCCCGCCCACACGCCAACAACTGAAGCAATAAACAAAGAAAGCGCTTCTGCGGTGCGCGCTCGTGCAGACGGCGTATACCTGTTGTTATATGCTAATCTGCTTTATTGTAACGGACGCAAACTTTTAAGCGTTCGCTGTTTTCTTTTAAGACCCCTGCATGCCCGTGGTTTTTCGCCAATTGTTTTCTGCAAAGTCTGTGGAATCTGAGGGATTTCGTGCGTCAGCGAGAATAAAACTTCGCAGCGACTAGACTAGACGTCCCAACGATCTCGTGGTGGTCGAGCAGAAGCGTAAGACGAGGAATGCAAAGGAGCATACGTAATTAATAGCCAGTGACTGAAGGCTATGAATTCTCCAAAGCTGCCGAACACAAAGCGAGGACAAAGGATGTTTTCTCCTCGCAGCAAAGACTGCAATTGAGAGCTATTCAAATGTTTGTTTTGCGCACAAAAATATCACAAAAGCAATCTTTAAAAACTAAGAATTTCTATATCTATACTATTATCTCTAGAATCCTTTGTTCGAATTTAATTCGAAAACGAATTATGCGCGAGTTTAATTTTTAATCGCTTTTGTAAATTTAAATTGCGTCGTGGATTTAAGGTCTTAGCCAACACTTCTGTTCCAAGCATTTGAGAGCTTTGAATATTCACTCAAATCCTTTTCGAAATTAATTCTATTTCAACGAATGCAAAATAAAATAATATGTTTTCATAAAAGGAGCGCAATGGGGGTTGGGAAGCATGGCTGAAGGTATTTTTCATCAAATGTAAAAGCAAGGAACAACATTAACGTCGACCACCCACGGTTGCAATTTCCACAAGAAACAGCACACGCATCAAAATGTTACCCAGCACATAGCGCACAACCCGCAGGCAATGTTGTTGTTAAAGTATGTGCGCGTAAAGTTTTTTCATTAAGTTGCTTCGTTACGCACAGATATCATAATCTCATTTAGGTGTAATGTTAAATTACATACAGAAAAGTAAATATTTTCAATTTTCACATCCCAAGGGTTAAAACAACTATTTTCTAAAGCTTTTCCATAAAACTGCAGACACAAAAAGAGAAAAATTTTCTATGAATGTGAAGAAAAAACAATTACATAGTCAGATAACGAATAAATTATTCAATCATTTCGGTTTCGCGTGCGTGTTTCAAAACCACTGATGTCATCCATATACCAACGACATAATATGCTGTTTTTTTTTATCTTTTATGTTCGGATTCCGTGAGAAGCACAAAAACGCCGCCGCCTCGACAGTAACATGCAGTAATTCATATTCGTAGTAAACGCGTGACAATTGGAATTGTCGTCGTTGAACACATTGCGCTGGTAATAATCAAAAGTTTAAACAATGTTATCAAGACCGCAATCGTATTGTATATGCGCGTGTTAATCTAGAGGTAACATTCGCAGAAAGAATGAGGTCAGAAATTTTTAAAATGTCTTTAAAAAAATGAAGAAAATGTTTAAATAAAACGGCAATTCCGAATAAACCTGGCGTGCAAGTATGCGACGCGCCGCATAATCATAATTCTTCGCCTGTAATTTCTAGTTTTTTGTTTGTAAAGTTCGCACTCTCCACTTTCCACATGTGAATATGAATTCAGAAATCGTGGTTCGCAGAGATAAATTCACCCCGGTGTGGCCGGCGACGTCGGATCAATTTCAACGCGTATGTACGTAGCTACATTAAACGGATTTAATGCGATCTTGATATTATTATATTTATACGGTGTGTGTAGAGGTTGCAATGGTTGAAATCTATGCCGGACACGCAAAACTCTAATCTCATAATTCTCTTCTTCGGTTTACTTAAGTCGATGCACATACACACACGTAGAGTGCGCGCCCCTGTGCGCTACCTTTAATAGCTTAAAGTGAAGACGAAGTGTTGTGTAATCGTAAAAACGTGTCTGCCGAGCCATTTCCAAAAGCGTCCCGACTCCCGAGCAAATAAACAAACAAGCGCGACACGCACGCCTAGGCGTCGCGCGTTCGCTCGATAAAACGTAATTGGGTTTGCAATGACCAGATTTTCGCTCACTTGCGTTTTCATCGTAGTTCCTGTATTTTTTTTTCTTCTCGTGCATCCCACACAAAACACACAATTCTGGCGCACGAAAATATAATTCTCGTCCGAGCAATATTTTATCTTATTTAATCTGTTCCGCGAAGGTACTTACGAGGGGGTGGCCAAACAATAGGTCCTTAGTGAAGTGCGGAAAAGAAATGGAAGGTATTAGGCGTGAGGACCGAAATAGTGCGGAAGGAGGCGTGCGGCGGCCATTTAGCGGGTCGAAGTATACCGGGGGGCGAGCGTCTTCTAATTGAAAAGATTCTCCCTCTCACGCATTAAGGAAT